CACTGATTTTTCCTTTGAAAACACGCAAAAGTTAGCCTTTTGTACAGAAAGACCACTACCCAACTACTACCATCACCACTATCATTACCTTTACAACCACCACTAAATCTATTGTTATCACAGGTGCAACCACCATGATATGTGGTACCGCGATGAATGGTGTGATGGACCCAGCACCCTGTTTTTCGAAAAGCGATATGGTGGTCAAAAGTGGACTTCAAAGCCAGACGCTTGAATGGATCAAGTGTTTCTTCTTTTTTTCAAATTCCCAAGCTTTATCTGTCAAACACGATTCTCCGTGGCTAGCGTAACAGGAATTTCTCATTTCCAGCTTTTCCAACTTAAATCAAAAAATTTTTGTGTGAGGTTATGTTCTATTGTTTTGTATCAAACAAGACCAAAGACGTAAAGACGGAGCACTAAAAGCAAAAAATGAAGCTTCTAGAGCTTCTTTTCAATCACCTCTACTATTGGCTAGAGGATTGGCGGCGAAATCGGGACAAGTTTGAATTCAAATGTAGGGCGGGAACTAATAAATAAAATTGCGGAAACAAAGTATTTTAGGTTGATTTTTGCCCGAATTCAGGTACACACTCATATTTTTTTAACTTTAGGTTAGTTTCAGTCCGTCGTCGACCGATTAATTTCATTTGGGAGTAACGTTGATCTAGAACTGTAACGGCCTGTTTGAACCTGCAGAACCACCATGAGCAGAAGAAAAACTAACTTTATGTGAGATTACTGCCTGTTACCGAGCAAAAGTAGGTGTATTATATTAGGACGCAGACCGAACTTTCTTAGTATATTCGTTTTAGGAATTTAAAATACGTTTCAAAGAAGAAATGTGGAAAAATCAAGAGGACAAGTTCAAATCAAATTTCCGTTTGCCGCCATGGATTCCCGCGCTCATTTACACACTCACACAAGCGCGCAGCGCCGAACCTAGCTTCACTTTTTCCCCGTGCTTTTAGATACGAGCGCTCCGTCTTTATGTCTTTGAATACGATCCATACCCTAAAAATTACCCACTGACGCGGGAAATTCAAAAACGCATGACGCGGCGGACGACGTGATCGTGATACGATTCGGCACCTGCGCCACGAACGCTGCTATTTCCAACAGCCACGGTGACACAGGCGCTTAAATCACGGCTCAAGCGACCGCCGAGGGGAGGGAGCGAGGGGGCGGTAGGGGGGAGCGGGGGAGTCCCCGAGTTAATTTTAAGGCTGTGTAACGATTGCAGAACGAGAATAGAAAGTCAGGAGCGAGGAACAATGGACAAGTTGTCATAACTCGAGTAAAGTAAATGAAAAGGACGTGTCTCTGCCAAACGGAACTATGTGCATCAAGACATGAGCCTTGAGACCCATAAGAGTATATGTATAACAGGGCTCACGTCATAATGCGCATAGTTCCGTTCGGCAGAGGCCCGCCCGAAAGAGCCTCGACTCGCCCGGGGATCCATTCATCATAGTCATATCAAATTTTGACGGGTGTTCCCGAAAGGGGACGGATAATAGGGCCCCGCGCTAGACAAAGACGAGTGAAACTCCCCGGATCCGAAGCCGGGCCGAGCCGAACAGCACAACAAACAAACAGACGAACAGACGAACGGACGCGGACAAAGGCGCGGAGGCGAGTCGCTTGTCAGGCCCCGCCAGGGGCGCCACGTCCCCCCCAGAAAACCCGCCGAAAATCCGGGCCCCCGCGGGGGGAGTCGCGGGGCCGGCAACCGGGGGATCTTGAGTTTGTTTGTTTCGCGTTCGGCTATTCTGCTCGGGTCTGATTGTTCGGGTAGTGTTACTGTGTTCGGGCCCGCGGTGGGCCCGATTCGCCGTACGGTGGATCGAGTCAATAGGCTGGGTGTGTACCAGTAATAAAAAAACCAAAATCGGGGACTTGTAGGGGTGTTTCTCAAGAAAATCGGGGATCTTCTTCCCGAAATAGTAAGAGTAATTGAGCTAGGTACAGCGTTAAAAGGCGTACTTTACACGACTAATTTTACAAGTTATGTTGAACCACACTGAAAAAAAATTCTGGGCGTTTTTACCAAGGTCCGTTGGTACCTTTACCATCTCACTTTTTTTTACTAATTATTGGTAATTTTACCAAGACAGACTGGTAAGCTTACCTAAAAACCGGTATTTTTACTGTTTTTTCAGGGAAAAAATACCACTTTTATTGGTAATCAATTCCCGGTAACTTTGCCATTTTATCTCGGTAATTCTGCCACAGTCGATAAAAAATATTGGCGTTTTTACCAAGGTCCAGTAAAATTACCGAGAAAGTTCAATAATTTTACCGAAATTTCTCGGTAAAATTACCAATTCCATAAATGGAAATTTTACCAAGAAAAACTGGGATCAAATAGAAGCCTGATTTCTTGGTAATTTTACACTTTTCTTAGTAAATACACCGAGATTTTTTTTTCAGTGTACGACTAATTTTACAAGTCATGATGAACCGATGAAAACATACGAAAAACCAAGCAATACTTCAGTTTTTTTATTCCCAGTTACACCGTGCCGCCGCGGCTGGAAGAAAACTATAAAAATGCTGGTGTTTAGGACAATTTTTGGGGGCCTAAACAAGAAAATTTGGGACTTTCGGGAATATCGAGGACAGCCTTCCAAAATCGGGGATAATCGAGGACATTGTGGACTTTTGGGGACCGGTAGACACTCTGATAGGAGAGATCGGACAAAATTTGGAAAATTTAAACGCTTTTAACTCCGTTCATGCAAAATTTTGAGGTATTCTAAAAGAGGTTTCAATGGCTTCCTCGTGAAATTTCATGTGAAATTACCCCTTGACATTTAAAATGTGATGAAATGAACACCGAAATTCTCAGTTTTAGTCAAAAATGTCGTGTCCGACCTCTCTAATTTATTCTATGCACTGTGCGCCGGGTAAACAAGGCTCCAGGAGCAGGAACGGGGAGGCTGACTCACGGACGGCCGAGTTGGAGAGCCGTTTGACGTCCATCGTTGGACGATCCATTAAATAATAATTAATCTGTGAAATTGGATTTAAAATCCAGTTTAAGAAGAGATATATTGATTTAAAATTTCAAAACAGAAAATTATAGTGATTTTTTCATCGATGCCTCGATATTTGTATCGTACTTGGAAGTTTTTTATCGGCGAAGAAGCGCCCTGTGTAAAAAACTCTTGAAAATCACGAGGAGTGAGGATTTTAAAAGACATTTTCAGGATGAATATTAATATGATGAATAATATCAAACCACCCGCTCATGAAAACTCAATGCTCCACGTGATTCACATCGCGCACTAAACGTTATCATGACAGTCTTTGGGATATAAAAATCCAGCAACCTCAATCTTGACGCTTTGGCTCAGCTATAGCAAATTGCCTATAGTTTGAACAACACATGGTGGGAAATGAACATTGCTCGATTGAGAAGATTGCTGAAACCGTTGTAGTGCGCGATTTGACTCACGTAGAGCTTTGAGTTTCTTGTCAGGCAGTTCAAATTCCTTGTAACCATTGTGAAATAAAAACGTTAATACCTTCGTTAGGAGTTGGTTTCAGTCATTTTCGTTGCGCGAATCGTGTTTTGCGTGAAATTTTGGTTAAGAAACATGTATCAGAATCTTTTAATTCGTACTTTGTCTAGTGGTCCATTGCCCCTAAAAATCACGCTTGCTGGGTCACATGGCTCCCGAAACTCAAAGGTGAGTTTCGAACACTGGTTTTGAGAGGGGGGAGGGGGGGGGGCAAAAAATCGGAAAAAGTGCGTCAAGTAATACTTTAACGGCCCCTAATATGAGGCCCCGGACTGGCTGCGACCCACCATTTTACGAGTGGCTGCCTTGAGCGGGGCGTNGACGCCGAGACAATAAGCGGCGTCGCGGGAGCGTGACGGGGGATCCGATTCGCCGGCGTCGGGCGTCCTATTGTTCTCCGATTGGCCCCGCGCCCTATTGTCGTCCGGGGCTCAGGTGGGCGGGTGTAACAATGGCCGAACAATGCCCCCGCGCCCCCCGCCGAGCCCCACCTGCCCTGCGCACCTCGGACCTTCCACCTGACGCCCCCGCGGGATCCTCCCTTTCCCGTCCCGCCGGAGTCCTCCACGCGTCCCGATTGGGCGCTCGGCTTTCGCCACGCTCCAGGTACCCGCTTACGCTCCATTTTGCGCCGCGAGTCCCAGGTAGCGCCGTGAGTATATTGCGGGCTCACTATTAATTGCTCACTATTGGAATTTATGGACGGAGCGGTAGTTTGCCGTGCTAAGGAAAAATGAACACATCGATATCAGCGGCGTGAATGATCGACTATCGATATTTCCCCATTTGATTGTATGGTAAAGAATCGATTACTAAGGTGTTCGTTGCGAACACCCTGTTTATCAATTTTGGCCATAGGTTCAAATGGCAGCAATCGATATATTGCAGCACGCCACGCCACTGGTCGATATGTTTTTGCAGGGCCCGGCCAATTTTTGAAATTTCAATTCTATTTTGTTGCATTCTGAGGCTTCCGTAACGCAGATTTTCCATCAACTTCTCCGGAAAAATAACGTATCTTTTCTTCACTCTCAGCCTACGATACCCTCAAATTGATGCGTTCAACACATCTAGAAAATTTTTGAAATTTCAGATCTATTTCGACGCATTTTGAAAGTTCAAACTTCCTCTTTTCTTGCCTTATTGTATTTTCTGTCTCCCCTTTTTCTTCATTTTTTCTCTCCTTTTTTTGCTTTCGGAGGAGGCTTGAGTTCCCCAAGCCCCCCCTCTGCCTACGTGCCTGCCCCCCTAGAAATCTACTTAGCCGAACCCCCCCCCCCCTC